ATTGCCATTCCATGTTGTAGAAACTACTAAAATAAAACCAGCTGGTTTAGGAAAGTTTAGACTCTCTCACAAAAAAAAAAAAAAAAAAAAAAAAATCCTCAAATTATTATTTTCTAGTCTACTTATTTTTGTTTATTGTTCCCACTACTGTTGAAAGTTTTCTTTTTTTACTGCAGTGAAGGTGAGAGCAATGGAATGACTATCAGTTCATAATTACAAGAAGTCGTAGACAATAGAACAAAGTAGCATGGTAGAAGCCCCTCCACTTGAGTCATTTTAAGTGGACACAGAAATTTAAAAGTTTCCTTGTCTAAATTTAAAAGTTGGACAAAGCATGTCCTTCAGTCAGTTTTTACAATAATGTGGGGCCCTCAGTGGGTCTTTTCCATCATTCATTTCTAGGAATGACCGAATTTTTCACATGATAATAAATCAATCCTGGGGCCAGCAAGCATACCCACAATACAAAAGTACATCAAAAGGAATCCAGTTATAAATCACCCCATTTCCCCAAGGAACATCAATGAATTGTTAGAGGCTTCTACTGGGAAGAGAGAACACAGAAAGAAGCACGTTTCACTTCCCATAAAATATATTTGCCTCTGTATACCCAAAACAAGCTATACATAGCTCAAACGCTTGCAGATAGCTGGAAATTTCCAGGACATTCTTTCCCAGAAAAATTCTATTAAGGAATAAAATATTTTCATGATATAATTTGAACTCTTAATAAAGGAGTCATTAAAAATTATATTTAAAATCTGAAGTCATTTCCCATAAAGCTAATTTTTAAAAACTGATCTAATCTAGAATGTTAAGATCACAAATTCTCTAATCACTGAAAAAAGAAGGCAATACTATTATATAGACGCAGAGAGAAAATGAAATGGTACCTATGTTCATTTACGTGAGATTTAACTGTCATGATCAGCTTACTCAGAATCACACTGCAAGTATGAAACAGCTGAAGCAAAATGACCTGGCAATACTGAATGGGAAAAGTAGGGGTCTTGAATTTAGACACATGCAGGCTTGAATCCTGATGGAGCTACTCACTAGCTATGTGACTTTGGCAAGTCTCACAGTGTCTCTGAAGCTGTTTCTCTGAACTCATCCTCATTCTATGAAGATTAAGTTGGATAAGCTAGGTACAGTGCCTCACGTCTGTAATCCCAGCACTTTGGGAGGCCAAGGTGGGCGGATCACTTGAGGTCAGGAGGTCAAGACCAGCCTGGTCAACATGGTAAAAGTCCATCTCTACTAAAAATACAAAAATTAGCTGGGCATGGTGGTGTGCCCCTGTAGTCCCAGCTACTCGGAGAGAATCACTTGAACCTGGCAGGTAGAGGTTGCAGTGAGCCAAGACGGCACCCCTGCACTCCAGCCTGGGCGACAGAGTGAGACTCTATCTAAAAAAAAAAAAAAAAAGATTAAGTTGGATAATAAAAGCAAAACACCTAGCATAATACCTGGGACATGGGAGTGCCCAAGCAAGTGACCAAAAGTACTGTGAACATGGCTGGGAAAGACAGTGCAACCATCCTCATTGCTTCCCAAGACTGAATATTTGGGAGACATTTATATTAGAGTAAAAACGTACAGTAAGCAGTGTATAGTATTTAAGTTGAGTATTTAAGTACGGAAAGTATTAAGCTGTTTAAAAGCAAAGGTAAAGCACAATCAAAGAATGAACTGTTAATTTTTAATAAGAAAAAGTTCCAATTTCCATGATATCTGTCATGGCCAAATAATATCCACAAAATTCCAACATAGTTAAAATCAGGGAACTTACTTATGAAGGGCATAAATCTAGAGCTGTTCATTCCTTCAAACACATCCATTTTGCAGCACTGACTGTATGAGGCACTGATGATATAAACATGAATAAGACAAAGTCCCTGACCTTATGTAACTCAAAATCTAGTAACAGCATAGAACTAAATCATAACACAAAACATAGAACTAATCATAACACATAACACAAAACAAAAACAATTAGGTTGTAACACAACC